AAAAGTTTAGAAAATTATCAAATACCTACGAATAACATTGAAATAAATCGAACCACTTGTGGTAACCATTCCGCGAAGTAATTACGCATAATTTATAAATCGTCAAATAATAAAAAGCAAGCCTTTAAATGGTCCTGCAAATTACGTATTAAAGTTTTCGGGACCGTTCGGCATTGTAATGAATGACATATAAAACTCCTTTTGCCAGAAATTGAAGCAAAAGCATCAGAAAATACAAATTTGTTTGGCAAATATCCATAGGGTCCCAAAAGGGGCATCCGGTACAAGGGGATCTCTTTCTTCGTATGGAGCGTGAAGCGCCAGTCACAACGAAAAGCACGGAAATCAATGTGCCGTTGCGTCATTGGGTTAACGTTTCGCCCCCTTTTATACAAAGCTTTGGTACACGTCAAGATCCAAATTTCATACGTACTTAAATCAAACCAATTTTAGTCTTTGAAAGTCTGTCAATTGTGCTCTCAAAACGACACTCAAAAAGTACGAAGCCCAATCGCAAATGAAGTCGAAAAAAACTCGACTGATCAAAAAACTTAATAGCAGCTTGTAATGCTTTAGAAGCAATTTCGGCAAAAAAGTATTATCGGGGCTAATTGCACAAGTGCTTCAAAATTACCGATAATTTTGCATGAAACCTTTTCGTTCCAATGTGAAAATAAACGAATGCAGTTTTTACAAGACAACAAGCTCGAATGCAAAATTATCTGTTTATTTTGATGCACGAGTGTAATTTTGATGAATATTTCCTGAGTAAACAAAGTAAATGTGGATTCAATTAATTTCTATTGTATTTTATTACACTTTCAATTTTATTACTTATGTTTATAAAATATAATTTGAATGTCTTAGGTATGTCAGGAAGACATTTGATGTCTTCTAATTCAACATGAAAAGACACCTGTCAAATATTTTTTGAAAACAATTCAATTATCGTTGAGTGATAATTGCGCACTGTGCAATTACCGCTGTAATTTTTCTTCAACGGACTTTAACTTCAAACGGACAGATTATCATACGAAGGAAATATTAGGGGGTAATACCACGAGTGCTTTGAAATAACTGATAATTTTTCACTTTCACTTCATTGCATGTTTTCCATAATTTCACGAGTCCGAAGGACGAGTGAAATTTGCAAGAAAAACATGCCAGAGTGAGAAATTATATGGTTAATTTTAAAGCTCGAGTGGTATTTAGTGAGATTATTTCTCGAATTAAATATTAAAAATTAAATTTCAGAATATATTTGACATCAATCATTTTTAATAAATCAGTCGACAGTGATATTTTTTATGATTCCATGACGACGTGAAATTATCGCTGTAAGTTTATTTGAAAATTATCGAATTACCATTTATTAATACCCTTTTTGCCCTATGGCGTTGCTATGGATGAGTGAAATAATCAAAATAATAATTCAATTGATTTAATATTTACGTATACAGCGTCTTCGAAATAAAATTAATTCAGGTATGGTTATAAAAGCGCATTTTCAGGTATGGTTAGAAAAGCGCATTTTCAGATATGTTCGTCATAGAAACATAGATCCGTTTTCTTTTTCTTTCTGATATACAGGGTGCTAGAATTTAAAAAAAAGTAGGTATATAGTACATAAAAAATATATGCGTTCCACTTCAAACAGTGTTTGTAATAGTTTTTATTTTGAATTGCCTTCGTACCTACCGATATTTGTACAAAATTAAGTTCTTTATTCTTTTTTATCTTAGTAGTCTATCACAATAATTATTTTTGATGTTCAATAAACTATGTATGTTAAATTTGGATAGAATCGCTTTAATAGTTCCGATATTAAAAAATTAAAGCCCTTTTACTTTTCATTTTTAACACCCTGTATATTAAAAAGAAAAACAAAACCTATGTTTATATGACAGAGGTCTCGCGATTTTCAAGCTATAATCCTTAGTTTTTTTATTTATAAAACTAAATTTATAAAACTAATTTAAATTCTAAATTGAAATATGTTTTTGAAAACGCAACAACCATCTTCCGCCGCTGTGAACAAGGGTCTGAAACTTTTTAAAGCCGGTCTTAATTAGGAAACGTTTACTCCTTTGGACAGGGTATTTTTCAAGTTGAGATATAACTGTGAAACACAGTTAACATTTACCCGTTTTTACGTAAAACCCTTTTTTTCTGTGTGCTATAGATAGTTTTGGCTCTTGACTTAGTGCGCTCAAATGTTTCATTTTTATGCTCATTTAGGTATCCAATGATCGGGCTAAATCCGGATAATTCAGCCTGAATACACTTGTTGTCTATGTCAAATGTCTAGTTATTCGCATACATTTCCTTCGAAACTAAAAAATAAAAGTATTTGGCGGTTGATTTAAAATTAGCTATCTAGCTGCACGGGCGACGCTTGCATTCCACAATTTAAAAAACTGTTAATTGCATAATATGGTAATTTATTTAGTTTGTGCGAAGGCGGCGTTACAATTCAACTAACTACATATTGCAGCTGCTTATACATATATCTATATTTAGGTAGGTTAGATTTTGTGCCGATCTTAATTAAGTAATTCACACTTATTTTTTGAATAAATCATCAAGAGTGACTATATAACTAAGCTATGGAAACAAAATAAAAATAATGCCTCAATTTCTAAGCATCCTGAACTATTTAAACACCACTTAGTTATATAGTCTATGGTTTTTAATGCTATTTGCTGAATTATTCATGATTCAATATAACTACAGCTTTATTACTTGATTTATTGGGATATTGAGAAAGACGTAATATTGCTTGCAGGTAACGATGCAATATTTTTTAAGATATCGCAAGCTTTATGATGAACTTTGAGTAAAACTACTTTGAAAAATTGAAAATCCATCCGGATGATTTTGGAAAGTACTGTTTTAACCCATAATTGATTTATTATTGAGTCTTCTGAGAGTTCTTGCTATAATTTGATAACATTGTTCATAAGAAGAAACTAACTAACCCAATTCCTTTATTTATGCACCAGTTGTTGGATTTTTATATTGTTGTGCGATTTTTTGCGATTTTTCTGATATTTACAGAACCTCGGTGTTTCTTCAAGACCTATTTTGGTATAGGAATATGATACCAATAGCATATAAAAGATATTGTGATTATGTCATTCGGGTTATATAATTTGTATATGATATGCATGGCATTCCATATCAGAAAATGTTTTCTCTTTTTTAGTAGGTATCTATCGTTTAAATCGCGAATTTTAAAGAACCCTTCGATATGGATACAGCAGAAACTTCTCCGAACAATATTAATATACCGAACCTTAGTACGTATGCTATTCGAAAAATTCAAAATTTTTACGAACTCAAACACCGCAGTACCTAATAAATATTAAATGATAGCAATGCTATGTAGAAATAAATATTATTTAAAAAATTGAATTTGCTTATATTACTTGATAATCATTTTTAAATTCGGGTTCTATACCTACCTATGCTAGTAGCTACACGGTTGATCATGACATGACATTGCTCATGTTACCATCCCAATTTTGCTCATTTCTCGGAAGCAAAATGAGCAAGAACGCTAATTTTTACAACATTCCAGAGAGAACTAAATGGCATTTTTAGAAAGTAAGCCACCGATTAGGAAATATTGGAAGTTTTGGCAAAAAAGTCTTGATTTCAACAAATTTTAGATTTGCGTGTTTTTTTGTTACAAAAATATTTCAAACATTACGCTGCTTTTTTCAAAGTTTCTTAAGCCCCATCCATGCACTTTGTACGATTCTTAGAACTTGCGGGCCAGTCGAGCTTAAAATACTTCAAGAAGAACTTATACTTTAAGACAAACTAAAACCCAAAAAAGCTCAGCAGTTTCAAACAATTAGTACCGCGAAAACTGTTAAAGATATATAGGATAGCAAAGTAGGTACTTCTTTGTATGCCACTCGATGCCAATGGCACATTGTGCGGCATTTCTAATATATATAATAATCTAATATATATAAAATATTCCTTCTATGTTTATATGAAAACAACATATTCATTCTGTTCTATATCTATACCTATTTACTGATAAACAAAAGATTCTGTTTTACAAGCAATAACAAAAGAAATCACTACTACTTAATATCTAGTCGAATAATCAAATGGTGTTCTTAAGTTCTTACCTAATTCTTAAGACCTACTTGACCCGATTAAGTATGAGACTACAATCTATCCCATAGCAGATGTAGTCTGGTATTTATCTAATAAACAACTCCTTTAGACAAGACATGAACCAGTTAAACCGATAATATAGCTTTCATATAAAAAAAGGTGACACCGACGGTATAGAAAATAACTGAAAACTGGAACAAAGGAAGCATGGAATATTCGCAAGTTAAGCGTGTTAGTCTGGGTATTGAACAGGCAACTATTACCATGGAATGAAGATTGTTGGTACAGACTTAAGTGAAAATATGAAAAAGCCAAAATAATTCAAACAAAATCTGTCACTTCTTCTAGTTATTTATAGAACTAAAGCTTTTTCATCTGGGATTTCTAATAAGTGGATTGTGACGACATTTTCTCTGGTGTCTGACATGCTAGAAATCCGTAATCAGTGACTTTCAAGACTTTCAGACAAAATGTATGGATTCTAATTATTTAAGGAAATGACTACAAATCTTGTTGAATGATTATTATTGAAATTACCTTCCAAAAACGATTGTTGAATATTTGCAGATTACCTATAAGGAAACACTATGGAAGATTTGAAACTTAGAAAAATCAAAGTTGGGGAATCATAAATATTGAATTCCCGACTCTTTTCGCTAGTTTAACTAACTTCATTGTTTAATCCACAAAGATGCATTTTTTAACCTCCCGATTAGATTAATATACCTAGGTACTTAAGTAAGTAGAACTGTTCAGATCCCATTTTTCACTTGAATATTATCTACATTTGAGATTTAGGAAAAAATGTAGGTATGATCAAAAAAAGAGAGCAAATCAGGCCTAGATGAAGGTATTTCCCTACTTACCCTCTCATATTGATGTGCTGCTCCGAAAGGTGAACTGAAAGGTCCAGTTCTAGGCACTGGATGGGCCGAAACGGGGGGTGCAGCCCCCGCCCTCTGGTACAAGTACGGATAATATGCCTGGTACATAACTTCAGAACAACTCATTATATACATATACACATGTCAAACGATCCTCTAACGGCACCAAAACATCCTTCGCACATTAAAGAACATTCGCGAGCTAAAATCCTAGTTAGTCAGCGCCTCCGTCGCTTCACAGCAACTACCTAACGGTCGACTTCATGAGCGGAGCGTGAGCGAGTCATGCTTTAGCACTCATTTGAAACTTAAGTTTTTAATTAAGCGCTCGATAACTGTTTCCTATGGAAAAGTATTTTCAGTCAATAACCATATATTGGGAATCACGAGTGTACGTCACCGTAACAAAATCAGAACGCACATTCAAAGCACACCGGTATAGGACTAACTGCTGCCAAAGGACAAAAATTCCTTACCCCTGTAATTCCCGAGACCCCGCCCATATATTCCCCTCTAAACTTCACACAGAGGTCCGCCCTGCCATGTAACGATTATGAAATTCCGCTCGGCTGAAACCAATCCGAGCCGAACTAAAATCTGAGCGACCAATCACTAAGCGGAATTCGAAGAGGTATGCTGACCGCCTAGGCAAGGTTTTATATCAAAAATAATTGTTAGAAAAGGGGTTATGGAGGCCATACGGTCTTCATTACTCCACTCTGGCTGAATTTCGATATTTTGCTCTTTTTGAGGCTTTATTTACGTTTTCATTTTTAGAAAATACGTTTTAATTATGGCTGGCCATTTTAATTGAAATACACTTTTGTTCATTGACTAATTTTCCAATCGAATCACAATTGAATTAAATTGTTGCTTTTTATTTGACTGTCTATTTGAACAGAAATCGACGTGAGAATTACAACTTTTAATAATTTGATGAAAGTAGGTACATCAAAGGCAAAAGGCCAATTAAATATTTTTATATTTTTCTTGCTTAGGTGCCTGAATCTGAAATTAGTATTCAGGTATAGTTTAATGTTTTTTTTTTGGCGCAAGTACTAAATCTATAAATTCAAATTCAAATTCAAAATTTATTAAAAATATATATGTAAACAGAAAATTATTTGTCAATTTACAATTCATATAATGTAAAAATTATTTGTTGAGTACCTAGATACCTTGTACCTGTATGTACTCTTGAGGTTACAATTTTTTTTATATCAGTAATCATATTTTTATTTTCTGTCCTGGTTTAACAGAAATCCACATACCATACCATGCATGTATATTCTTACCTAAAACTAGCAACTTAAAACATTTTCCCGAGAACTCAACTTTTGAGAAAGTATCTGAACAAATGTGTTCCTGTGTATAGTAATATATTCTCTGGAATTTTTATTAAACAAATTGAAGTTATTTATTGATCTTATTATACTTGGCGATGAATTATAAAATTTTGGGGCTACATAATTAAGAAACTTAAGATGAATTGTTCGAATTTTTTTTTTCAGGTAGAGCAAGAAAGTTGTTAGATATTTGTCTTGTGTTGTGGTTATGTTTTACATATGTTTGAGTATTTTTGCTCTTATGGGTAAATGAGCATGCTGAATATATGTATAGCAATGATATGTCGCTAATTTCTTTGTTATACAACTCTCTAGTAGGATATAGTTTGCCCTTTCTGTAAATTATTCTTAAAATATAATTTTGAACAACTTTTAATGGTCTTAAATTAGATTCATAAGCTCTACCCCATATTATAAGGCCATATCTAAGCAATGATTCTACTAACGATTTGTATACTTGTATGAGTAGTTTTCTGTCCAAAAAATCTCGAAGAACATAGAACTTATGAATGAGTCCTCGAACTTTGCCTGTCAAATAGTGTACATGTTCTATCCATTTCAAATTTTGGTCCACTATGATTCCTAGATATTTTACCTTTGACACAGCCTTAATTTCAAGGTCTGGGTTTATTTGGCTAACCAGGCTAAAATGTGCCCTATTAGCTTTTGTTATACTGAACGGGATAAAATGGGTTTTCGTGACATTTAGTGATAATTTATGTGAATCTAGCCATTGTTTTACCACATCCATCCCGTCTATTGCCTTCCTTCTAACCTCATCCCACGAAACCCCTAAAAAGATCAATGCTGTATCATCAGCATAGAATACAATCGTGCCATTCATGTTTAACCCCAGCAGAGAATTAATATAGGTTATAAACAAAATGGGCCCCGAAATTGTTCCCTGTGGAATGCCCATCTTAATGTTTAGTGAAGAACTTATTTGGTTATTGACTTTAACATATTCTTCTCTGTTACTTAAATAACTCTGAAAAATCTCGATCCCCTGACCTCTTACACCATATTGTCTCAAAGAACTAATCAATTGATCATGAGGAACAGTGTCAAAGGCCTTTGAGAGGTCCAGGAAAATAGCCAAGCATTTTCTGCTTTCATTCAGGTTATTAATAATCTTAGATGTCAGGCTGTACATGGCATCAGCCGTACTGCAATTCTCAACAGACCCAAATTGTTTGTCCGACAGGATTTTAAACGTTTTAAAAAAGTTGACCAGTCTGTCCTTTAAACACTTTTCTAACAGGTTTGCAAAGTTATTAATTAAACTAATTGGTCTATAATTTTCTACAAAGCCAACATTCATAAATCAATTATATTGTAAATGTTTGTGTAGTGCAATGTCCTTACTAGTAGATAGATAACGTGATCTTCTCAGGCATAGTAAGTATAAAATAAACCTCAACAAATCAAGGAAAGCAATAAGGATAGGTAATCTGCCTAGTTATACAAAGAAGTTAATGTAATAATATAAGAAAGAAGTTACTTACAGACGAATATTATCATTGATCTACTACATCTGTCTGACTTTAAACTTAATAATAAATTAAAAAGTCAAATAAAATAAAATAAAACATTTTCAAAAGTCAGGATCCAAACTTCTTTTATTACAAAGTAGGTATAGATATTAACAGGAGGCAAACAGACCAGTAATAAAACGGAGCACAAAAGACAAAACAAGTAAATACTGGTGTTTTAGCAGAGATTAGTAGACCAGTACTAATCTAAGATGGTATCAATGTATGATATACTACTGATGGTATCAAGTCCTGGGCGATATACTAAAAAAGAAGCTAATAGGAAAGTTCCAAATTAAAGTAAGCAGCATTCAAGTTTCTAAGCTGCACATGTTAAGAATTAAAGAAGTAATTGAAACAGTGCAAGAATATGTACCTACCTAGATACTACAGTGACTGTATAAAACACAGTCACTGTATGACTCAAGTCCAAGTTTTAATTTGAAATGATTTGCTATGATATAAAACATTTTGGGATTAAATTTGAAACCTGCTTTAAAGATGAGTTTTTTCTATATAAAATGCTTCTCGTTAAGAATTAAAACAGCGGAATCGAGATAAAATTCAGTAGGTACGTGATAAGATTTGTTCTGCGCAATGGAAATGTAGTTCAGCTTTACGTTTTCAGTCTTGTTTGTTCCTCGTTATAAATTCAACGTTTTTTTTAAAGCAAGTCTATAATAGACCTACATGTAACTATTACTATTACGGAGTAATGTTCCAGGTATTAAAACATAAATATTAGCACATTATTTCGCTATATTCAATAAAAACATACACAATATGTATGTTTTAAAATAAATAAAAATGTAGGTATTATAATAATTTGGTGGCGTTATATTGATGACGTATTCTCCATTTACAGTCATGGCGAAAAAAAATTTGATGAATTTTTATCTTAACTGAATAATAAAGAACCGACAATTAAATTCACTATCGAAACAGAACAAAATCACCAAATCCTTTCTCTCGATATACTGATTCAGAAAAATTTAGACAATTTCGAAATCTTGGTCTATAGAAAACATACTCATACTAACCGATATTTGAATTTCAACTGAAATCACCCGATAATGGTTAAAAAAGCTATCGTAAAAAGTCTATATGATAGAGCAAAAATAATTTGTAGTCAATCTAATTTTTCAAAAGACAAACCATTCATAAGAGAAATTTTTTTTATGGAAAAATGTTTTAACGAAATTGAAATCTCGCAAGCAACACAAAATCAAAATATACCTATTACAAACCTTTTCATTCCATTTATTCCAGAACTTTCAGATCAAATTAAACGAGTGGGTAAAAATTTTAATACTAGGACTATCTTCAAAACTTAAAATACAATTAGAAGCAAACTTTCAGTAACAAAACCTCATGACGAAATTGAAAATACAAAAAATGTAATTTATAAAATTCCTAGGCAATAAATTTTATACAGGAGAAACCTCAAGACCATTACACAAAAGACTCAACATGCATTTGATAATTGCAATTGATAATGGAATAATTCTACAATTTTAACAAAAGAACAATCTACAAAAACACGTAAAATTAAAGAAAGCGCACTAATTTTACTAAATCAAAATAATTGTGTTGCGTCATGTTCATTTAATTTAAGTTATACATGGTTACCTATGCTAAAGTCTGAAGTAGACCCGACAAACATACACCCCAATTAAATTTACACCAAAATTATTAATTAATTAAATTAAAATTACCTTTATTAATTTAAACAATGAGATTAAGTCATAGTCACATAACTGACAATTTACTCAGACGAATTATCAGAGTGAATTTTCATATACTGTATTATCCTACTATTGTTACACAATTTATTGACACACATACAACATAATAGGTTCATTTAGGTTCTTTTGATAACGACAGCAGAAAATAGCTATCGAAATGTCAAGGTAATTTTTCAAATTAATTTCTTTACTAATTCAAATTTTCTCTTACATCTTGAGCCTAAGTGTGTCGCAGGATACCCTCTAAGTGATAGTTCTTGATTACTTTTTGATAAATAAATCGTTCTTATTGCGAAATAGGAGCACTATTTATTTATCAATCTGTAATAAAAGACGTGAGAAAATTCTGTCTTTTTTAAAGACAAAAATTTTTGGGGCGAAATACCCAACAAAAAGTTTGTCAAAAAAATAAAAACATATACAATAATTATATTATAATGATGATCTGTCACGTTTATCTTCTATTTTACGATGTAACTGATGTCAACTCTTAAGACTTCAATGCGTATCGTATAATTTCAGCAATTTGCTGTATTTGAGTAAACTTGCTGAAGTTTTTAAGCAGGGTTTCTTTAGATGCTAATTCCGAAATACATTTATTACAAGTGGCGTTTTATGGAGCAAATAATATATCMGGCTATATTGTATAATGAATTAATAATAATAAGAATAATATAATAACTAAAAATGAGATTTTAGTATTTTCGGGTAATATCACGGAATCGTCGAGTTGTATTGCTGGAGATCGTGCTTAACAAATCTGAAAAATATTCCCTGTCATCTTTATCTTAGCTGGAACCTTTCGGCCACTTCAAATATTGT